ACAGCACAAACAACAATTTCCAAAAGACCAAAAAAAGCGAAAAAGTCTATTTTAACAAAACGCATTTGACTAACAGGTCGAACAACTGATGTTCTTAAACCCTGCTGACTGCCATTGGCGATTGCCAAATAAATTGATCACCAGATCTAACGAAATGGATCTTGATATTAATTTAATACCAAACAGAAAACAATAAACTTGTGGAAAAGATGGTATACCACAAACATGAGGTGCAAAAATTTGTACACCATATCCGGATTATAATATACATATTAGCTAGGTAGGAAAATCTTTTTCTCTGTTGTAAATTAACAAGTAAGTGATATTGAATTGTAGTTATGTTCATTATTCATGTTATTTATTTAAATTATACAAATTTATACATATAAATTCCTGTTTGAAGACAGCACTGTGTTTGACATAGATTGTTATAATTAAAGAGGGATGTTGATCTATAAACAATCATTGATTTAGTGATCATAATGAACAGATCATTTATGGCACTGATAGTTTTATTGTCTTGGGAATTTTTTATGTAGTAACCTGTAATTATTCCATTGATATCATATCAGATGCAATTGATTAATGGGTACATTGCTTACTTGAAGCTGAATTCATTAAGATTATACATTAGGATAGGAAATTTGTTGAAAGATAGATTTTAATTGTGTAAGACTCCTGTTTAAAATTTTAGGACTTAGAACAGGCATATGGGAAAAAAATGTTATTACATGAAAAATTGACATTTCATGCACATAAGGTATTCATTTCATCTGCTACCAATTGAAAATTGCTATGTTTAATACATGAAAACCATCATGTAAGAATTTATTGTGCATGGCATCTGTTTGTTAAACAGTTTTTAAGTGATAAAATAATATTAAGTAATGTAAAGTACTTTATAAGTTTTATGGTCATACTAATTTATTGCTTATTATATAGTACCATGGTACTTGAATTTTATAATCTAAGATTTTACAAGTAATGTTTGATACAGGTGCTTCTTTTTGTGAAAAAAAACAACATTGTAACATGCTTCACTGATCACAATCCCTAAATCACTCTGAAGTCATTGAAAGGTGTCTTAAAAAGTCTAGATGTTTTAAAACTAATAAACAAAAATATATATTAGAAGGACATTAGCTTACAAATAAAAGGAATGGTTGATAATTGCTTAATGTCCTCCAGTTCAAAACAGCTATATTTCCACCAGTAAATAAAAGGACATGGGGTATGCATCAATAAAAAACCAAAAGACATCTAGAGTTCAGCAATGAGACAGATGCTTTTAACATGTTTAAAACACCATATAAAAAAGTATGAATATATTTTAAACAGACTTTCATATCACTATCATTAACACCAAGTTCCCAAATGACAAAAAACATTTAGATACATGTATAACAAAAGACAACCACAGATTTGGTCAAATTTGGTGTCGACCTGGGACATGAATGTTTGGCTGTGTATTTGAAATCTCAACCCTCCCTCTTTTAATCCAATACTCTACATTTTTCCATGATTACATATTCCAGTTAAGATACAATTATACAAAAATATCATGAGTTAATGTCACTTGCATATTAGTTTATATGAAACATTAATCTTCTTAAAATCTAAAATATCTGCTACTGGACATTATACAAGTCAACTATAACATCAATTAGTCATGGACATATTTTTAATGCAATTTAATATTGATGGTTATCATTGAACATTTTTAACTTGCTATGATTTTTCTTATAAATAACTCTACAATTCTAAATCAGTGCATGACTGACTCACACTTTCTATCAAAATATTTATGTAAGTTTCCAGGACAAAAGATTTAAATAAATAAAATATTGGTAGAGACTACCCATGAGAAGATTCACTTAATTGATCGTGTTTACCAATAGTTAAATTTTCCCAACTGGTTTGTACATAAACTTCTATAGAGATAGTAATCAATTCATAAGGTCAATATTTAAATGTATTTTTAATTTATCTATGACTATTTACATGTATGTATGGATCAGTATATATTTATATTCTATTATGTTGAAGTTTGCAAGTCAAAAAGGATATGTAAAAAAGCTTGATTCATAGAATATGGTATACATTAGTTGTAAGGGCCAATGAATTAAATAGTTACAAACCATTTCAAGCATTTTGTCAGGGTTAAGGTATATCTTACCTTATACATACGTTCTTGTATAAGAAAGAAAATTTTACATTTCTTGACATAATTAAGATTGTTTCATGTATTATTTCCAATTAACTACATTAAAATTTCAGACAATTGGTAATGTTGTTTATCCAGTAAGTAAGTGCAATTTGGCTGATTTAATGTAAAAAAACAGACTTATGGTACAATTGAATTACTGTCTAGCTTTATATTTTTCTAGTTGACTAAAAGATTTGCAGAATTCCTAATAAGATAAAGGGAACACAGAGAGAAAATTTGGAATTTAATTTTTAAAGTAACCCTTTTTTTTTAAGAGATTAAGAAAAAATGGCAGGGGGTGGGGGGTTAATTTCCATTCAGGTTTTCTTGCTTCTATACAAAACATTCAATTTTAAAAACATGCAAAGAAAGTACAACCTTTGATATGAAATGTGTTTTATGTAATAAGCTTACACATTCAGTAACAGCTAGATCCATGAAAACTACATGCAACAATTTCTCTCTCAGTTCGAACATAATTACATGTATGATCTAGAATAAGGTAAATCACAATAATTGTAAATATTTATCTAGTCTGATGGCACCAGACAATTGAAAGATCAATATATATATGATTAATTCATACATTGTATAATGATGAAATATGTTTTTTCCTGTGATAACAGTTTCATGTATTATATGTGGATTGACCTTTTGAGACTTATTGTTAAGTAATTGTATAAATAATTAAGAAATTCATGTGAACAAAAGAATGCAGAAATATTCAAGTACAAATGTAAGAATGTATGAAAATACTTTTGAACACTTAATAGTTATTCTAATACATGCTAAATAATAAGATTTACAAAAAATTGATTGCACACAAGTACTATTATATCCTGATTCATAAGTACATTAGCCATTTTTGACCAAAAAATATACATGATAATAATTTATAAAGCACAAAGTATATATATAAATAAGAAAGAAAAACACCATTTTGTTTTCAACAGCTTTTTTAGGGTAATTCCTGAGTTTACAACGTACCTTTTATATTATCCTGTTGAAACAAACAAAAATGCTTTTATTTAGATGATAGATAATTTTCAAGAATTCACCAGAAAGATGTGTAATTATCATTGCTAAATATTACAGCATTACATTTTTATACGACCACAAAATTGTCATCGTCGTCGTTAGCGTAGTCCTAAGACATTTGGTTTCCAGACAATAACTTGTGTATAAGTGTATGGATCTCTATGAAATTGTACCACAAGGTTCCATACCACAAAAGGAAGGTTGTGATTGATTTTGGGGGTTATTGATTTAGTTGTTTAGGAATTAGGGACCAAAAGGGGCCAAATACAAGCATTTTTCTTGTTTCAGGATAACTTTAGTATAAGTGTATGGATCTCTATGAAATTGTACTGCAAGGTTCCATACCTCAAAAGGAAGGTTGGGATTGATTTTGGGGGTTAAGGCCCAAACCATTTAGGAATTAAGGGCCAAAAAACTAGGATTTTCATGTATCTGGACAATAACTTGAGTATATCTGGTAAGTCTATGGATCTCTATGAAACTGTGGAACAAGGTTCCATACCATAAAAGGAAGGTTGGGATTAATTTTGGGGTTATGGCCCTAACCGTATAGGAAAAAGGGGCCAAAAACAATACTTTTCTAATGCTTTGTATACATTGCTTATTTCTTGACCAGTTTCAGTAGGGTTTACTTCAAAGTCTTGAATTCTAGTAGTTCTTTAACATGCTGAATCTAACCGTGTATTATAGATTTTTGATTTTGGGCCCGGTTTTCAAATTGGTCCACATTAAAGTCAAAGGGTCCATAATTTAACTTAGTTTGATTTAAAAAGAATTGAATTCCTGAGGTTCTTTTATATACTGAATCTAAACATGTATTTAGATTTTTGATTTTTGGTCCAGTTTTGAAGTTGGTCCAAATCGGTGTCCAAAATTAAACTTTGTTTGATTTCAACAAAAATTGAATTTATGGAGTTCTTTGATATGCTGAATCTTGCTTTTTGGATTTTTGGCCCGTTTAATTTATCAAATTGGTCCATATTGAGGTGCAAAGGGTCCAAAATTAAACTTTTTTGTTTGATTTCATCAAAACTTGAATTCTCAGGGTTCATGGTAGGTTTGTTTGTTATTCTGTAATCTGTATAATAGATTAATTTTCAGATCGCTGTTTATATAATTTTTTTTGATGTAGTGAACCCTTTTAAAAACTTAGCTTAGATTGTCCTTAAATAAAGAAATCAATTAAATTCTTGGTGTACTTGGATATTTATATGTTGAATCTAACCGTGTATTTAGATTTTGGATATTGGACCATAATAGGTAAAAGTCCAATTTCAAATTTTTCAGCTCTTTGACCCCATTCATTTTGTGTCAGAAACCTATGCTGTGTCAAATATTTAATCACAATCCAAATTCAAAGCTGAATCAAGCTTGAATGTAGTGTCCATACTTGCCCCAACTGTTCAGGGTTCGACCTCTGCGGTCTTATCAAGCTGCACTAGAAATGCACATTATACGACCACAAAAATTTTTGTGGTCATATAAAAATGTAATGCTGTAATATTTAGCAATGATAGAAAATTTATGAAATTATGATCCTGATCTTTAAAGATTCATGTACAGGATAGCAAATTTATGAATTTTTATGACCCTGAACCATTATACCATGTGGCAAATGTTAGATTTTTAGTGTTATTGTTTTTAAGTCATTTCACAGATAAGATAAACATTTTTCAAATACATACTTTGATTCATTGTGATAAAAAAAAATTCAGCGCTTGTCTTAGCATTGATATTTATATAACTTTTTTTGCAGATATGAAGGAGTAATTGAAGATGTTAGCAGTACAGAAGATTTCATTTACATAACTGATCCATATTCCAGTCCCTATCATTACATTGAAGATCATAACTCAGCAATGGAGCCACCAATATTGGTATATATATATATATATATGAAATAAGTTTTTATCATGTTTTTTTTAAATATTTATATTGCAATGATCTATAATCCTTTTAAACTTTTATTTTTAGCTCACCGGGGCCCAAAGGGCCCCATGTGAGCTTATGCCATCACTTGGCGTCCATCGTCGTCTGTCGTCGTAAACTATTTCAAAAATCTTCTCCTCTGAAACTACTGGGCCAAATACCTTCAAACTTTAACTAAATGTTCCTTAGGGTATCTAGTTTATAAATTGTATCCGAAGTTTGTATCCATCGACAAACATGGCCGCCATGGCTAAAAATAGAACATAAGGGTCAAATGCAGTTTTTGGCTTATATCTCAAAAACTAAATCTTTTAGAGCAAATGTGACATGGGATTAAATTGTTCAATTGGTCAAGATCTATCAGCTCTGACAATTTCAGACGAATCGAACAACCCATTGTTGGGTTGCTGCCACCGAATTGGTAGTTTTAACAAAATTTTGCAGTTTTTTGTTATTATTTTGAATATTATTATAGATATATATAAACTGTAAGCAACAATAATGTTCAGCAAAGTAAGATCTACAAAAAAATTAATATGACCAAAATTGTCAATTGACCCCTTAAGGAGTTATTGCCCTTTAAAGACAATTTTACACAATTTGTTCAAGTTTGCTAACATTTAAAAATCTTCTCCTCCGAAACTACTGGGCCAATTACCTTCAAACTTTAACTAAATGTTCCTTAGGGTATTTTGTTTATAAATTGGATCCGAAGTTTGTATCCATCTAAAAACATGGATGCCATGGCTAAAAATAGAACATAAGGGTCAAATGCAGTTTTTGACTTATATCTCAAAAACTAAATCTTTTAGAGCAAATGTGACATGTGGTAAAATTGTTTAATTGGTCAAGATCTTTCAGCCCTGAAATTATCAGACGAATCGAACAACCCATTGTTGGGTTGCTGCCACTGAATTGGTAGTTTTAACAAAATTTTGCAGTTTTTTGTTATTATTTTGAATATTATTATAGATATGTATAAACTGTAAGCAGCAATAATGTTCAGCAAAGTAAGATCTACAAAAAAGTTAATATGACCAAAATTGTCAATTGACCCCTTAAGGAGTTATTGCCCTTTAAAGACAATTTTACACAATTTGTTCATCAAGTTTGCTAACATTTAAAAATCTTCTCCTCTGAAATACAGGTGAGCGATTCAGGCTCTTGAGAGCCTCTTGTTTTATATAGGTTTTGTAGTTCACCTGTCCCATAGGGTTAGTACATGTAGTATAAGCTATATCCATCATCTATATTTCTGTTGTCTGTCAATCCATTAACTGTTTACATGTTGATTTGTTCAAAAATAATGTATGGGTGCATGCACATGATAAAGAAAATTTTTGATTCTGAATGGTATTTTTTTTCTGTCATCATCTCTGAAATAACAAGACCAAATCTTTTCAAACTTTTTTTAATCAAGAAATAAATCTTTGTTTTTGTCTCGCCTGCGACGAAAGTCGCAGTTGGCGTGAAAAAGGTACAAATGTATTACTATCTGGTGGCGGCGTAAACTATTTGTATAAAGCTTTATATTTCAGAAGGTAGAAGACCTGGATGCTTCATACCTTGTATGCAGATACCTTAAGTTACGAAGTTTCCGTCTGTCATTTGCCCATTGTCCTTGACCTCATTTTCATGGTTCAGTGACTGCTTGAAAAAAAATTACAGTTTTTTTGTCATGTGAATTTCTCATGTATTATTGTAATAGGATAGCTATATTTGGTATATGGGTTCCTTGCAACGTCTACATGTCCGTAAGGGGTACATGTCAGACTGGCAGGTTTCATCTGACCTTGACATCATTTTCATGGTTCATTGGTCATTGTTAATGTTTTGTGTTTTGGTCTGTTTTTCAAGTACTGTAAGCAATAGGTCAACTATATTTGGTGTATGGAATGATTGTAAGGTGTACATGTCTGTCTAGCTGGTGTCATCTGACCTTGACCTCATTTTAATGGTTCATTGGTCAATGTTAATTTTTTGTGTTTTGGTCCATTTTTCAAGTACTGTAAGCAGTATGTCAACTATATTTGGTTTATGGAATGATTGTAAGGTGTACATGTCTGTCTAGCTGGTGTCATCTGACCTTGACCTCATTTTCATGGTTCATTGGTCAATGTTAAGTTTTTGTGTTTTGGTCTGTTTTTCAAATACTAATAGCAATAGATCAACTATATTTGGTGTATGGAATGATTGTAAGGTGTACATGTCTGTTTAGTCAGTATCATCTGACCTTGACTTCAAATCCACGGTTCATGGGTTAACATTAAGTTTTTGTTTTTTGGTCTGTTTTTCAATTACCATATGCAATGAGTCAACTATATTTGGTGTATGGAATAATTGTAAGTTGTACATTTCTGTGTGATAGTTTTTATCTGACCTTGACCTCATTGTCATGGATCTTTAAAAATGTTAACTTTAAGACTTTCAACATAAAATCAATGGTCAGTAAAACAGGCGAGACATATCAGCGTGTGCACTCTTGTTTACTTTCAACCAATGAAAGTCACTGCAGGTATTTCTCAAATTAAACATTAATTTGAAATTCAAAAATATTGAAATAATTTGTTTTGGTTTATCCAGTTTAATATAATTTATGGAAAGAAATGTAAAGTGACACTTAATTATATGGCCCTGCTACTCTCTAAACATTTATTCTACATTTATCAACAGATGACAGCTGGCCAAGTCGAACAGCTGGCAAAGATGAGTAGGTTGCCCAAGCCTTCCCCTGACCAACAAATTAGATTTTTTCCTGCAGTCAAATTACGAAATGTTACCTATCATCCACCAGAACCAACAAAAGATACTGCAAGCAAGCAAAGACCTGACATATCTAGTGATACTAATACTGATATTGATACACCTAGACTGCCAACACGAACAGACTCTAATAAACAATTATTCCAAAAGGTATGTAGTAGATAGGGCTGGTTTTAATGTATATGTTTAGTGGTAGATCTGACCTGTCGATCATAAAACTTTACTCTGTCCTCTGAATACAAAATTTGTGCTGGAAACATCAAATCCAGTGTTTTGATTGGTTTATGTCTGAGTCTAATAATTATACTCAAAATGTTTATCACTGTGAGGCCTGGCCTTGCTGTCATAAACATTTGGAATACAATTATCATACTCAGAATCAGAATTCAACCAATCAAAATACTGGATTTAGCGTTTCAAGCAAGCATTTTGTACTCCAAGCACTGAGTAAAGTTTGATGACCAATAGCCCTGTATTTTAGGTTAGAATTATAATATAGATTAAATATTTATATTATGCTTTACATATATACATGTATATACTTGTATATTGTATCCTAATACTGCATGTAGTTTCTGTAATATAATGCATGGAATGAACTTCTTAGATGAGGTGAAATACTCGAGACAATTGCAAATTAAATGCATAATATTTTACACTGCTCGCATGGTGCTCTATGTATGCTATTTCACTTACAAAATTATATGAATACTCTGAATTACTTGGAAATTTCTTTTGAAAAAGCACTCAACTGATTTGCACAATATTGGCAAATTTATCTGTGTATTGAACTTTTTCCAATTTAATTTCTGAAATACAAAAAACTACAAACTACTGTAAATTAAGAAATAACTATGTGCATTATATTTTTGATTGAAGTTGTTGATCAATGGACAAAAAAGTGAGTTTAATAATTTTGAATTCAGGAAATGCTGCATACAAAAATGCTATCTAAATTTGAAATGCAAAAAGTGTTCTTTTTTTCAGCAAGCTATCCTGTTGCAATTTTCAAGATAAAAACAACGCAATTTTTTTAATTTACAGTATATGAAAAGTCTAGTAAGATTATTACTTGGATCAAGTTACATGTATACCAGACTCCACAGACTGATTTGTCATTCTGAATTCTATCTATGAATGGCTTATTTAACATATTATATTATTATCTGGTAGTTAGTTAGAAGTTATCTTTATTTCTTTGTAGCTATCCTTAAAAGGAATATTTCTTCTAATAAGTTTTGGCTTCCTGCATGATTATTAGTGCAAAATTAGATATCTAACTTCACTTTAATCAATATATATATACTCGCTTTATGCTCAGCCTGCAATTTTCATTTTCTTTTGCTCTGATGCCAATATCTTTTCAGAATTCTATCCCTGACAATGAAGATGGAGTTAGTATTGATAACAAGTCTGAGATAGAACGTTTACGTAATAAACTACGACAAAGAGAACAGCAAAAGCATCTCGGACATGAGGTGGTTTCATTGTTTTTATTAATTAGTTCTTATAGATTTATTTTTGTTGAACCTGCAATATTTTGTCTCAGAAGCAAGACATAGCAATCGTACATTCTGTAGTCAACATTTAGTTTCAGAGTGTGGCTAAAAAATTTTAAGACATCAATTTCATTGTCAAACCTTCATAGGTTTTTATGAAACTTGGACAGAAGCTTTTTTTTATGACCAAAAGACAGTATCCAAAGCTAAGCTATGCAAAAAAAAATTCATTTTTCCGTATTCAACTGATAAATGGACTTAAGGATGTACTAAGGTGAAATTTTAAAAATCTAGAATTTAAAATTGATACTTTAAGTCAGAAGAGCATAAGTTAAGGAACAAAATAAGTTAAAAATATTAATAGGTTATGGAGCTCCTTTTCGCAATATTTGATTTTTTTAAAACGGCGGGAAAAGGCTGACTCGGACTTTTACCTTATATTTGCATTGGTATTATTTGGGTCTCAAATCGAAAGAAGAGAAATTTAGAGTCTGCTTAAATTTTGGTAAATGACCTTTTATGAGCTATTAAGTCTTTTGTGAAAAGAAAAATGGATGTTATGGGGCAAAATATTTTACCCTGTATTGAATGAAAAAAACAAGGAGTCTGAACATCTGACCCAAATTCCTAAACCTCACCTAAGTACATCCTTAATCTTTTTTTTTTTGAAAATAATTACGCAGTCTAAGGCTAAAATTTTCAGACATCAATAACTGTGTCAAAGAGTCATGGAATTTTATGAAAATTGGACAGAAGCTTTTTTTATAATCAAAAGACAGTATCCATGGTATCCAGAGCAAAATTGTAAAACATTTTTTTTTATTTTTCTGTATTTAACTGATAAAAGGACCTACATTTTTTAAGCTGATAACATTTTGATACAGTCTGCTGTTAAAGTATTTTCAACATCAGTTATAAAGAGATAATGTCTAAATCCAAGTTTTGAAAATATATTTTTCATTTTTCCATATTTTACTGATAAGTGACTTGATTTTCTCTGCAAACAACATTTACAATCAGTCTAGAATTACATTTTTAAGACATCAATAAATTTGTTAAACCTTCAAATAATGTTTTGAATCTTGGGAATAAGCTTTTTCAAGATCAAGAAATAGCATCTAAAGAAAAAGTTAGATTTTCAAACCAAAATTCCTGTATCTTACAGTACTGATAAATGGATTAAGTTTTAGGCAATCAACATTACCCTTTCAAACTGACTGCTGCAATAGCAGGCGAGATACAGGGTTCCACAGTATCCTTTACAATTTATCAAATTTTTCATTGAATACTGAATTTTTATTCTGACCTGGAGTTTATGAAAAAAACATAATTTCCTGATGGTTTTACTTTAGATTCATTTTATTGTGAAATTTGTTCTTTTATAAGGTTAAAAAATTACACAGTAAAGTCAATGAAAGAATCCTAGTTTAATCTTTTTGAAACAGGAGTTGCAGTAAAATAAAAACTGTAAATATTTTCAGAATTTTTTATCTTTTGGAAGACTTTATCGTGGGTAATTTAATTCAGTGGGCAGTGTTCAAATGTCAATTTTGTTGACATCAAATTCTCACAGTTTTGTCAGTCACAGCATGCTTGGATATATTAATTTTCACAGTTTTTTGTTTTCAATATTGTGTGGTGTTTTCTACAAATTATTTAAAGGTACTGATATTGTTGTTTGTGAAGGATAGACAAAATTAACTTTTACAGTATCAATTTCCAAGGTTTTTAGGATATTTGATATAATGGTTTCATGGTTTGGTCATTCTGATTAAGGTAATCAAAAATATGTATTCCTTTGTGTACTGATAGTTAAATATAATGCCTCTACCAAGATTATCTATGAAATGATTGATGATGAATTATTGAGTTCTGTAAATAGTTTACTAACAAAATAAAGGATTGTAATGCATTTCTCCTGAAAATATAAAATAAAAATTTAGACAGAAAAGAAGATGCATGGTTGATTGATTTTTGTTTTCTAAGCGTCCCAGAAAAGAAGACATTTTAAGTTTATTCACAGCAACTTGTACCTTCATCTCAGATTAAACCTTTAAATTAAAAATTAATGAACTGATGTTGTTAATCAAATTTTTAAAGATCAGAAGAATGAAAAAGTGTAGAAGATGAGTATACTGTTTCAAATATATTAATATAAATATTTTTTATAATATCCATTTTCTTTACATGCATTTTAAACATGACAATTACAAATATAAATTGAATAGCTGATGCTTTTGTCAACTTTTACCAAATCATGAACTGGTTTGATTGGCTAAGAGTTGTCTCCCATTAGTAACCAAATTGTTAGGAAAGGCTTGCATCTGTTAAAATATTTAGTTTCTGACTTATATAAAAGCATATAAATTAAATTTTTTAAGATTCTTCTGTATTTATGAATGGATTTGTATAGATTATCGGGTTTTCTACACATTGATATCGTAAAATACCAGCCGCAAGCCACAATGTTAACCTTTTTGGCTATATGTAAAAATCTGATAATCTGTTTATCGTTCTATTACTGGTCTTTTCCCTCTCGGTTAGATGGTTTTACATTTGATGAAAGCAAGATTGATAAGTCTCCTCAGACATTGTGACATCCTTGATAATGTCTGCTCATGTATCAAAGCCATGATATGAGAACTACGAAGCAACTGAGAAGGGTAATAAAGGCAAAGGGAAGCATGATAATACTTATTCTCTTTTGAATGTGTCAATGATGATTCTCAATGGTCACTTCAGACTTTTTTTCTGCCGTAATAGAGATATTTTTCAAAAATACAGAAAACACTCACATTTTTCATCTGTCAGAAATCTTTTTTGTAAAAATTGATTCTATTCTGAAGCCCAATAAAAGCTTTAGAATGTGTTTGATGCTGATACTATACCCCTGAAGTAGACCCATGACATCAGACTGTATGGCTGCCAAAGATAAGAACAATGTTTCTCAAAAGTTTTTTTCTATTTAGCACAAAGAGAGTTTATTAAATTCTCATAATTTTATTCAATAGTGATAATAAATTCAACAAAGTCTTATTCATATTTTTATTGAGATTGAATATGTTAAGTTGATATCAAGCAATATCCTATTCTCACTAGTTATGAAACCTATGATTTAGAATTTATTTTTTCTAAGGTATAGTTATACTAATTTTATTATTGCAAACCAAATGAAACTTTTCCACAGATTCATCTCCTATTGGTCAATCTATTTAAACTTTTGTAAGTTCTATTGTCCCATTGAATAAATACAATAGCTATTGTTCTCTGTGTAGTTTATTCACTGGGACCTTTAAATTTCTTCTAAGAGAAATCCATCACTCGTTGATTAATTTAACTGAGCCAAAAAACATCTTCTAAATAGATGAAAATACATGTTTTAACTAAAAAAATGCATGTGATTTTGTATTTATTCAATATCAATAATATATTTTCAATGTGTTTAATATAAACACTGATTTAATCATAAAAAGTTGATTTCTGACAAAATTTTTAGCATTATTCCTATTGAAATTTGCATTTTTTTTGTTTTTGTTTAGTTATAGAACACATTTAAGAAGGCCTTGATTTAAACATCATCATTTTCCAGTTTTTATTTGTCAAACACAAAAAAATAAATTTAGATAGGAACAATGTTGAAAATTTTGTCAGAAATCAACTTTAACAGATTTGAAAATTTATTGTTGATATCGAATAAATACAACATCACACACAGTTTTGAGTGTAAAACATGTATTTTCATCTTTTAGAAGATAGTTTTTTTTCTCAAGTAAATTAATCAATCAGTGATGGATTTCTCTTAGAAGAAATTCAAAGGTCCCAGTGAAAAAACTACACAGAGAACAATAGCTATTGTATTTATTGAATGGGACAATAGAACTGACAAAAGTTTGAATAGATTGACCAATAAGAGATGAATCTGTGGAAAAGTTTCATTTGGTTCGCAATAATACAATATATAGTTCTTTGCTTAATATATCACCACTTTTTTATTACGACATATACATACTTATTAAAACCTATCCCTGTAAGAAAGTTTCAAAGAGGAGTTTATGTTTTGTGTTTTTGCATTTTTATTCACTGCTGGTTAGAGATATTTAAGGTGAAAAAATATTTTAAAAACTAATTTCAAATGATCAGTCAACTAAACTGGTAGAAAAAAAAGATGACAAATCTATATTTGGTGTTTTTGATGTTAGGAATATTTGACAAATACAACAAAAGTTGATGTGAAGTTTAATTTCAGCGACTTTCATACACAAATCACTTCCGTCGTACTGAAGCAAAGCAATGACAATATTACATTTATGCAATAAGATGTTGCGACATTAACAATTTAACTCTCTTCATTGCTTCATAATTGCATTTGATGGCTTTTTGTATGGTTCTTGTTATATATTATATTGATGTTTTGCCGACTCAAAAACCATCACTAATGGTTTATAAATAACATCATAAATGAATTGTCTATTACAGTACTTTGACCCAAGAAAAGAGAACAGAAAAAGAAGAATATATACAAAGAGAGAGAGAGACAGGATGAGGAGAACAGGAAACCAGTCCTATGATAGTCATGATGAAGTTATGTCAGAAATGGATTTCAGGTGAATTATATGTTATTTAACTTTGAAAATAGGGATATTTATGGAAGAGGGTTTAAGGTGTAATGCTGGCAGGTAATTCTGGTTGTCCTATAAGTCTATTCATTTAATGTTACAGGAACAACACTTTAGTTATTTGAGGTAAAATGAACAAAATTTAAGTAATTTTAAAAGTTACTGAAACTATGTTATTTTCGCAATGATAAAAATATTGCAAAAATTTCTTAATTTACAGTGTTCTTTTCATTGGTAATTTGTATAAACAGTTTGTTCTTGGAGTAGAATATGAAATTAAATGTTTTAATTTAAATAACCTCTTTTTACAAATACAAATCAATGCGATAGTTGTCCTGTTGTATGAATGAAGTTGTATGCATTTCATTAAGATATTTGGTGCAAATGGACGTGAAAAGCATGAAGTTGCTGCATTGTTAAGTGACGTCATTGCCTGATATTGTATCACGTCCTGTCCGTGATGTAAGAAAACAAATTAACAGTAGGATCAATATGAATATGTAGAAATTACTGATAAAGTAGAACAATTTGTAACACACAAGAAATCTACAGTACAAATGTTAGGAAGTATATGTGTCATGGTAAAAGTTCTTTATCCTTTGTAATGAGAAACCAAGAGAAATTCTTGTTCTTGCATGTCAACAACCAATGAAATATTTGCTTTGGATTACATGGTACTAAAACAAAATTGCTATTTATGGTATATTTACTTTAATTAGCTGTGATTTGCAGATAGAAAAATATATTGATAAGCTGTTAAAAAATCTCTCTGAAACAGATATTGGACAGGCAGCCAAATATCACAACTTTATCAAGAAAATATAGAAAACTGATTAATGTTTGAAATGTTTGTACAAAACATGGTTTAAGGTTTGTTTTTATGCCCCTACCATGGCAGAGGGGGCATTAAGTGTTACCCTTGTCTGTCCATACATCCATCAGTACATCTGTCAGTACATCCCAAAATTAGTTTCTGTTCTCTCACTTTATTTTGCCTCAAGATTGGAGATTTTTGGATAGAATAACAGATTTTGATGCAAATGAAGAATATAAATAGTATGTAAAGCTCATATTTGTATTTCTGCTGGTCAGGTTACATATGCTGGTCAGATCGGGTAATAACACTAGAAATATTTTGTTGTATATTGTAGACATCTGAGAGGGTACCATTCAGGAAGAAGTGGTTGTTCAACACCAGGTGGCAGTGTGGTATGTACAATTATATGTGATTTTTTTTTATAAATGGTTCTCATTACTATCTACTATGCATTGTGGTGTCATTAATTATTTGATGGCTTGCACATGTTGGATAGCAAGTATTAAGAACATAAGTATTAGTTTGTATAACAACAATTATGGGAATATTAGAGAAAATATTAATTTTTGGACATCACTATAAGAGTACAAATCAGATGTATTTTTAGACATTCCATTGATATATTAATTATTTTGTGTTTTTTTGTAAGTTTACATGGAAATTGAAAGTAAATTTGCAATAAATACTTTTTATTTACCTTCTGATCGTTTAAGCGATCATTTGACCATTTTCATTTTTGGTACCGATTCCTATATAGTAATGAACCATCAAATGCTGATCTTTAATTGTTTCTGTTTGATTTGTTCACAAATTTTAGGCTTAAAAGTAGTTATTTTCAAAAATATAATAAAAATGGTTTGGTCACAGAGCTCTTTTTTTCACGCTGCAGATGCAAAAATTGTCAGAATTTGTATAGATTATACATGAAAATGTCACTTTTGTGTGAAATGAATAAAAACTTAACAAAAGAATTTTGAAATGAAATATGAGACGATAGCTATAATAAGGTGCTTTCAGAAAATACAAAGAAACTTGTGGGTGACCCTTTTGAAGATTGTATGTTGACAAATCTATAGATATCTTTTGATTGTTATGTATGGGATGCTTTTTCAATGATGTATACGACATTCTTCTTTTGTTCACATCAATTACAAAACTCTCTGATTTAAATTCTCAACGAAACGAAACCATACATTTTTTATGTAAATCATTATTTGTTGATTTGCTTTAAAGGGTCGGCGTACTTTTAAAACTATTGCATTAGTAAAAAATGTGTTTAGACAGCACAAAGAGAACTGAATCTGTTTTTGAAAATAAAAATGATTGGATTAGCATTGTCACAAACAGATCCACTCCTTCTTGTTGTCTTACAAATTTTGCTGATGTAATAGTTTTCAAAGTACTTTTACTCTTAAAAACATAACAGGTTCTAAATTCTTAATACTAACTTAACAAATATATGGTTTTGTTGATTTTAGAAAAAAAAACTATAATTGAATTTTTCATTTGAACTAATGTCACATTATCTTAGATTATTTTTTTGTGGGAACAATCCCTAAGTATTTGATATCAAGATGAGTTATTATTTAAATTAACTTTGGAATTCTGTTTCACGGCTTTCAGTGGTTTCCTTATGTCATTATCTTCAGCAAAAGAAAACTTTTGTGATGTAACTGTTAAATGGTTTGTAGTTTTATAGGGAATCTGTTTTTCCAAATTTAAAAGCATTTGATGAAATTGGATGAATTTCATCACATAAGGCCAAAAGATGTCTCAATATGTAAAGTAATTGAAATTTGAGATAGCACTTTTAGAAGAAAGCACTTTTAGAAAAATTTGTTTTTTGATGAAGTGTCGTTTTAGGATTACAAAATAATACCAAAGTACCTCTCAGTTATAGCTACACATGCTACAGAAGAAATGTTTTTCACTTGTTCACATCTTTGGTTAGAGTGAATACTATCAATTTAAAAACTGCCTCAAAAGATTGATAAAGGGGCCTTATATAATTGTTACTTTCACTAAAGCATTTGATTTATTGATTCATATATTTACACTATCTCACTACATCTTTTTCAAATATCCTGAATTCATCTGGAAATATAAAATTGAAAGAAAATAAAATCTAAGACTTCATCAATGTGAACTTTGAATTCATATCAATTACATGAAATAACGAGTTTCTCTAAATAAAATAACTTTTTCTCATTTTCTCAAATTACATCATGGTAAATTAGTGTTTCTGCACCAAGTTTCACCAATAATTAGTTTTCTTCCATTACTGCCTTTTCTACCTGTTTAATTTATTTTCAGCCAAAATAGGATTATTGCTTTCATTTTTCAACTTTGACTTTACGTCATAAATCTTTTTACATGGGATTGGTGCCAGCAATGCAGCAGTTCCCTTCATCTTATCCTTAACTACATGTCATTCAGAACATGCATTTTCTTTTTTGCACCTTTAAGACCTAAAGTAGTTTAATAATTATTTTATTTTTATTTTTATGGAAATATGACTAGAAAGTGCACAGTTCCAAAATTTTTTTGTAAATCCTTCCTTTCATACAGATTAACCAGTTCAATAAAGGATTTCTGTTTAATTCATGAAACAGTGACCATGTTGAATGTGTGCTTAAAGTATATTATGGAGAGAGAAATATTGATATTTTTCAATGTGTTTACATTTTATTTGATTTAGAATAACTATACTAGATATATAAATGTTGCCAGAACAAAGAATTAGGAAAGCATGCAGTGTCTGTCTAGTTTGTTCATCACGAGTCTGTCTAGATCCAGTAACAAATTGTTCTGAGATCAAGTTAGATTGCTTTGTAATAGAACTACATTAAATAATTTTTTCTTTGCATATTCAACGTAACCTTCACTTCTGTATTACAACTTAGGCCTCAATCTTTTTGCTTTTATGCCCCAGCCGTAGGCGACGGGGGCATTAAGTGTTACCCTTGACCGTCCGTCCTTCCATCTTTCAGTTCTTCTGTCTGCTCCATTTTCGTTTTACACACTTTAACTTAAGTTTGCCTCATGCAAATTTTATGAAACTCATACACAATGCTAAGAACCATAACTGGCAGACAGAGTTTGAATTTGGGCTGTCAGTCACTTACTGTTCTAGAGTTACATGTATGTCCCTTTATAACTTTGAAAATTGCAAATCTTTTTGTTTCTGCACTTTAACTTAATTTTGCCTCATGCAAATTTTATGAAACTCATACACAATGCTAAGAACCAAACCTGCCAAACAGAGTTCAAATTAGGGCAGTGAGTCACTTACCGCTCTAGAGTTATGCCCTTTTTAACTTGGAAAATTGCAAAGCTTGAGTGGGGGCATTCCTGTCCTCAGACACATTCTTCTTTTATATTCAGGGAGCATCTGTTGGTCTGAACATTTTACTTGTCCTAATTTCCAACTAAGACAAAGTTCACTGCAAAATAAAAAAAATATGATTTAAGTGTTTATCTAACAAGTATTGAAACATTACTTTGTAGTGTTTTAGTTAATGTGAGCTTATTTACTATATAATGCAATTTATCAATTAGGTATTCATTGCATATTCTGAAGAAGAAATATCCATTAGCAAACAAATAAAACAAAGATATATAAAAAACAGTAAATTGTGTTTATAAGAGACAATATAGGGAAAAAATTACCCATATTGAGACAGAATGATCTTGGAATTGTAATTAAACTGATAGAAAGAATCTGACTTTTGCAATAACCTGTCAGTAGCATATTTTATTACACCATTTACTTCACAGGAGAAAACCATCTTTATTTACCACTTAGCTATAATAATGTCTAGAAATAATATTTTCTAATAAAGCTTGTTATGGTATAGTATGTTATATTGATACTACATCAACAGTGGTTAGATTTGTTTCAGATCCTGAAGCACATTCACAAGCACAACCTTCTTTTGAAAAAATTAGAATTTTTGAAAATTGAAGAAAGTATTGATATTTGATTGTATATAATATAAAAGTAAGAAAAATTTACCCCCTTCATTCAGGTTATATATGGATGAGGTTAATTAGTGTAAATTCAGAAATTTGTACACACATTTATTATTGCGATTTTTAAAGAAAGGACCAGTATGAGATTGGTTAATTGACTTACACATTTTGCCTTATATATATGGAATAAATGAAACTTTGGTTTTATATTTCCTATAGTTCCTGATGAGTATTCAAGGCACTTGGAGCCTCTAGTTTCCTTAACACTATCAGTTGTTCTTTTACTGGAAACAATAAGTTTTATAAAAAGAATAATGAGCTTATCTTTGAATGAGAAAAGATTCTACAAATTGTAACAAAAATGGGAATGCAAGAGGCAAGTTCTATATAGTCTACAAATCTTACATAAAGCTATTACATAATCATGACCTTAACCTCTGACATTGGTTTAAAATATATTGAACTTTATCTTTGGTCATGTAGAACCATCCCAAAACAACAAACACTGTTCTTTCCATATTAATAACAAATGACCTTAACCTTGATCCTAATGTTATCCCTTTTCACTTCATAAGACATCACTATTGTCTCAAGTGACCTTAACCTTAATCCTAATGTTGTCTCTTTTCTTTTCCTAAAACAGCAGTATTGTCTCAAGTGACCTTAACCTCGGATCCTAATGTTGTCCCTTTTCTCTTCATAGGAGATCATTTTTGTCTCAAGTGACCCTAACCACGATCCTAATGTTGTCCCTTTTCTCTTCATAGGACATCACTATTGTCTCAAGTGACCTTAACCTCGATCCTAATGTTGTTCCTTTTCTTTTCATAGGACATCACTATTGTCTCAAATGACCTTAACCTCGATCCTAATGTTGTTCCTTTTCTTTTCATAGGACATCACTTTTGTCTCATGTTTGGTAATTATCACATGTATGTGGTAACTTTTATTGCGAAGATCTACTCTTAATGGTATATTCAACAAGATGCTCCCTTCCAATTGTTTATTCCAGTGCTACTGACAGTTTTCAGTGAAAAAATAAAAAGCATCGTACACACTACATTACAATTTATGAATAGAGTTATTGAAATGAATATTATGGTGAAATGTTGATAACTTTTTCATAATTGGGTTAATTGAGAAAAGGATTTAGATTTTTTGACAAATCTTTTAATGAAAATTTCATTTGTGAATCTTTCCAATGAACCCCAACATTTCTATAAACTTTGTGTACTTGTTGCTTGTTGTTAAACATGTCCCAGAACTCTGTAATCCCTACATACTAAATTATTTGAATTAATGATTTTTTTCTTGGAAGTTCTATCACATATTAAAGTCTTTATCCGAATCAGTGATTAAGTAAATGGGTAAAGTCACGTTTCCAATCCTTTCTCTTAATGTAAACAGAGATTTATGTAGA